CATGATAAAAACTATTACAAATATAGAATGCAATAAAAAAAGTGTAAATACTGGAGAACGCACAAATACAATAGTATATATATTATTTAAATCACAAGAGCATGTTGACCTCATTTTCTGTGAGGTCTCTTCCTCTTCTTAGAGCCTAGGATCTAGTCTTAGGGTTTCCTACCGACTTCCTTAGATGACTAGACTGGGACCCACACTAACTAGAGATTCAAGCCACTTCTTGACTCCTCGCAATTTCATGTGACCAGTTCGAAATCCTCAACGCTTAGTTGAGTCAATTAAAACCAGCGCGACGAAGCTCGAGTTGAGTACCTGCAAGAGCTAAAACCTTAGGAAATCCATCGTGTCGTCCACGCACACTCACGATTCACACGTCGATGCACACAATTATTGAAATTCACGTCTCCTGCACTTGTAGGAGGCTTCAGGATCGATCACGAGCGATTATTTTAAAGGAATTTGAATTTGACGTGTTTTCTACCTGACCGTCGATGAAGTCGTCCGGGCGACCCCGAATAACAAAATGAACCACACCGGCAAGTCCGGAACGTCGACTTTAGTTAGGAAGGACTCCCAGTTCGATATGGTTTTGTGCACAAGTGAGGAGTGCACAAATCAAGGAAATTTAAATATTATTTACATCTTAGGGGGAGTGTATTTCGCATTATATAGCCAATGGGGGGAGGGGGGTCTCTTTATTACGACTTAAATCCCTCATTTGGGGCGGCCCTTGGTCCATCCCCGATTAGGCTCCTCTCCTGGAGCTCATGGCTCCCCTTGGTTCAGTCTCCGAATTTAGCCCTAGCTACGCCTTCCCTCTTGTTGGTCACTTCTCTTCGCGAAACGAGGAGTTGACCTCGCCTCTCTCGACATCCTCTGCCCAAGCTGCGACTTCCCGAAGTTTCTTTCGCTTCGTCTAGCTGAGCGGGAATCCATTCATGGTAGGTTGACTTTGGTGCTCTTGTTCCCCGAGGCACGAATGTGGCAATCCTCCTCCTTCCCGATAGATCATTCCTCTGTAGCCTTGTTGCGATGTTTTTTATTTCTGCTGGGACGAGCGCTGGGTTGGCCTCCCCTTAGGGTAGTTTCGTTTCTTTTCTTTCCTCTCTTATGCGTGTATAAAAGGATGGTGGGGGGGTTTTGCTATGAGGTTACGAATTTTGGGAGCTTGGGAGAGACTTTGCTAGAATTATTTCTTGGCTAGGTGCTCGTGAGCTTGAAGTTTGGGAGTGTTGTGGCTTTGCTTGTGAGCTTGAAGTTTGGGAGTGTTGTGGCTTTCTTTTGTTGATTACAGAAGTCCGAGCAAGGTATGTTTCTTCTCTTCTGCTCTTCTTCCCTGCTAGACACATGCTGGAGACGTTAAAATAGGGGAACACATGTATAAGGCTTTGTTTTGTCTTAACTAGTATTTCATAATGGCGTTGCTACCGATTACTAAGCCTTTAATATTTCTGTTGGGTCTGCTTTAAATGCTCTATGTTGTTAGTTGAGATAGTAGTTTATATAAAGCATGTTTTAATCCCTATATACATGCAAGCCTTCTCTTTATGCTTTTATTATCTATACATGTATGTTGAAGGCTGTGGTCTTCTCTCTTTTCTTCTTGCTGAGTAGATTTACCGTTGAAAGGAAGATTGGCTTGCGTTCTTCTGTTTCCTGTTATTTCCCCCTGCTCGAAATGCATGTTGGGAAAAAAATTTTACTGTTGGGGGCTTATTTTTGTTTCCTTGCTTCTTGTTACTCTCATATTCAAACTGCATGTTGGACGACATTGGCATGCTTAATTTT